CTCATGGACACCCAGAAACACCCAAGGGACCCCCCCCCAGCAACCCCCAGCTCCAAAGGATATCTAGGACACCCCAGCACTCAAGGGAACCCCTAGCACCCCTCAGCTCCAAAGGGGTACCAGGGATTCCCAGCACCAAGGGGCACCTGAAGTCCCCCAGTCTCCCCAGAGCCAAGGGTCGTCTGGAGACCCCTAGCACCCCTCAGCTCCAAAGGGAACCCAGGGACCCACAGCACCCAAGAGTCTCCAGCACCATGTAGCACCCAGGACCACCCAGGGACCCCCAGTGGCACTGGGTGCCCCACAGTGCTGGCTGGTGGGGGGACTGGTGGGAAGGGGGAGTGAGTTTGTGACCCCAGCCCAAGAGTGTCTCTGGGGTCACATCCTGAGGCAAATAGAGATGATTGTGGAGGTGGGGTGGGGGTAGCAACAGTGCTGGGTCTCAGAGGAGGGGGAGACTGGACTGGGGACGGGGCACTGGTCTGGGGTTCAGAAGAGCCCGCAGTCCTTGAGGTTCTCCTTGATGATGATGTCAGTGACGGCGTCGAAGACGAACTTGACGTTCTCGGTATCGGTGGCGCAGGTCATGTGGGAGTAGATCTCCTTCACATCCCGCCGCATGTTCAGCTCCAGGAACTGCACCTTGATGTAGTTGCCCGCATCGTCGTATGTGTTGGGACCTGGTGGCATGGCAGTGAGTGGGGTCCCCTCCTGGGCTGGTGTTCCCCTAAGGGGATGACACTGGCCCAGTGTCATCCAACACTCCCTCGGGTGGGCAAGGCTCGTGTGGCATCACTTACACGGGGTACTGAGGACACCTGGTGGGGGACTGCGGCGGGGTGGTGGCACCCAACCAGCACCACACCACCAGCAGCTGCTGCTGCACTCACCATCATAGTCGGGGAAGCAGATGCTGAGATGGGCCTTCTTGATCTTCTCCAGGAAGACATCCTTCTTGTTGAGGAAGAGGACGATGGAGGTGGTGGCAAAGTAGCGGTGGTTGCAGATGCTGTTGAAGAGGTGCAGGCTCTCGTGCATGCGATTCTGTGGAGGGACACAGCCCCATGGTGACCCCCCATGTCATGATGGGGACACAGGAGAGGGGGTGTGATGTGGTAAGCCTTCCTCACCACTTCGTCATCCTCCACCAGGACCATGTCGTAGGCGCTGAGGGCCGCGATGAAGATGATGCAGGTCACCCCCTCGAAGCAGTGGATCCACTTCTTCCGCTCTGAGCGCTGTCCACCCACATCAAACATCCTGGGCAGGACAAGGAAGAGTCAGTGTCCCCCATCCCCCTGTCCACCCCTGGCACCAGCCTTCGTTGGAAGCTTGGCCCCCACCTGAAGTTGAGGTCTTTGAAGGAGAACTGGGTCTCGATGATGCCGGTTGTCTTGACCCGGGAACGCAGCACGTCCTGCTCTGTGGGGACGTAGCCGGGGGTCACCAGGCGCTCCAGGTCCGACAGATAGCTGGCCAGGCACGTGGTGGGCATGAGACACAGGTTGGCACCCCCTGCCTGACCCCTCCCCCTGCCCACACCCCCCACCCCACATACTAGCCCGCAGAGTCATTGAGCTGGTACTCGGAGGCACGGTCAAAGCAGGCTTGGATGCCTGAGTCCTTCCAGAGCCGCCCGATGATTTCTGACATCTCCTTGGGCATGGTGCCCTCCTCAATGGTGTCTGAGAGGTGCAGCAGCTTGCGGGCATCATCCTGCGAGGGAGAGGGGTTCAGTGGGGCCAGGGGGCTGCAGGGACCCTCTGCCAGCATGGGATGCTCCTCACCTGGCGAGCTGTGTCCCCGTACTGGATGCTGAGGGTGGTCATGGCCCTCACGATGGCCAGCATGGACTGGAGTGTGTTGCTGTAGATGATGGCAATGAACTCCAGGCATTCCTCCAGCGAGTAACCGTCCTGGTGGATGATCCTGGCCAGAGAGGGAGTCATGGGGCTGAGCTGGGTGCAATGGGGCTGAGCCACACACTAAGGGGTGGGCACACCCCATGGCTGTGGCATGGGGCAGAGCCAGGCATGGTGGGACAGGGGCACCCCGTGGCTGTGTTGTGGGACAGGCACATGGCACTGTGGGGCATGGCCGAGTGACCCCTCCTTGGCACTTACTTCATTTGCTTGACAATGGTGCTCTTTCCCGACTCTCCTGCTCCTGAAGGGACAGAACATAGGTCATGGCAGTGCCCATGCCATGGGTGCCTCAAACTGTGCCTCACGCTGTCCCACTGGGACCCCTGGAGTCTGACACGGCTCAGGGCCCTGTTGGCTGTGCCAGGTCCACGGCTCAGGGCGTGCAGAGGGATTACAGCTGGTGCCAGTGGCATTAAGACTGGGCTGAGCTGCTGTGGCTAATGGGATCTGCGCAGCTCAGCTGGGAATGCACTCGGGGACCCAAGGGAGGGGTTGGGGACATGGTGGCATGGCAACCCCGCCACCCACCACTCAATGCCCCAAGCCTGTTGGCAGGGCAGAGGGACATGTCCTGGACCAGGCCATGATTGCAGCCATGGCCTCACCAAATACAAGGCATCCCAGTCCTCAGGCACCACCAGGAGGGACTGGGAAGGATCTGCAGTACGAGGGGGCTGCATGGGGATCCTTAGGAGGAGGGGGGGCTGATGGGATGGGGTGCTGTTAGGTGCTTCTGCTGAAGGCTCTTGGGATGGATTGGTTGTGGTTGGGGGGCCTGGGAGTGGGGGGATGTTGGGGTAGCTGGTTGGGTTTAGGGGTGTTGACAGGGAGAGGAAAACACTGTGTGGGGTTTTGGGGTTGGCTGGTTGCGTTTAGTGGTGCTGAGGGTGAGGGAAACGGGAGGTTGTTGGCAAGGGCTGGTTGGGTCTAGGGGTGCTGAGGGTGTGAGGGAAACATGAGGTAGGCTGGTGGGGTGTGCTGGTTGCTTTTAGGGGTGCCAAGCAAGTCAGGGGACTGTTAGGGTGGGCTGGATGGGTTTAGAGTGCCTAGGAGCAGGGGCTGTTGTGTGGACTGTTGGACTGGTTGGGTTTAGCAGGCAGTCAGAGAAACTTTAGTTGGGTTATAGGGGAGGGGTTGGTTGGTTTTAGGTATGTCTGGGAGTGGGAGGTTGTTGGGGACACTCTTGGGCTGTGCTGGTCTGGTTTAGGGATGCTGGAGGCATCAGGGAAACATTGGATGGGCTGTTGAGATGGGAAGGTTGGTTTTAGGGCTGCCTGGAAATGGGAGTGCTGTTGGAGTTTGGGCTGCTTGTTTTTAGGAGTGCTGGGGAAGTCAGGGGAATGTTAAGTGAGCTGTGAGGGTGGGTTGCTTGGTTTTAGGGGATCCATCTGGGGGCCAGGAGAACATTGGGTGGGCTAGTTGGTTTTGGGGGGGCTGTGGGATGTGCTGGTTGGGTTGAGGGGTGTTGGTAGGTGCTAGAGGAGCATTGGGTGGGCTCTTAGGGTGGGATGCACAAAGGATAGGTATGTTCCCCAGGGTGTCGTCTCCCCCTTACCCAGCAGCAGAAGCTTGACAGTCCTGGCATCCTTCTCAGCGTCTTCCTTGAGCTTCTTCTCCAGCTCCCGGGAATGCTTCTCCTCGGCACTGGCCCCGGCGCCCATCCTCGGCCCCGCGGCCCTGCGGCTCACCACCCGCTCCTTGGAGGTCAGCACCAGGATGGGCAACGAGCTCCAGCCCCCCGCCGCCTCCAGCGCTCTCTCCCTGTGCCCGCCGCCGCCGCCGCTGCCCACCCGATGTGGGCCAAGGACGGGGCCAAGGTCCCGGGGGGCCGCCTGCGGGGGGCTGTGCTCAGCACCCGGGGCTTAAGCCAGGCCCCCCCGATAAACCCCCTTCAATCTGCAGCAGGCTGAGCTCAGCAATCCTGTAGCTCCCGGTGTCAGCGCTTCTGCTGGGGGGGGCAGACCAACCAGCCCCCTGTTTTGCTCCCACCCTGGGGCTGGAGCAGTGATCTGGCCACCCTGGGGGATGTGGGACCCCCACCCACATGCAGCTCTGCTGTGGACCCCAGGAGTTTGGAATTGGGGGAATGAGAGTGTGTGTCTGCTAGGGTCTGGTCACAGTGTGTGGAAATGTCCCCATTGTCCCCATCTCACCTGGTCATACCCCCGCTCTGGATGAGTGCCCAGAGCCCCTCCCCAGCAAGCCATCCCAGTGTCCCTGGTCCTCTGTGCCCGGTGACTCCAGGGTTACTCTCCCTAGTGATTGAAAGGCAGCCCCAGCCTCCCCACCCTGGGTCCCCAGGGCCCTTCCAGGACCCTCCATCAATGTGCCCATGACACTGGGTGCCCTCCTTAGCATCCCCAGCCACCCACCAGCACACTCCCAGTGCCACCAGGCCAACTCAGTATCAACTCCATAGTGTCCCCAGGCCCTCCAGCAACACCTACACAAGTGTCCTCAGGGATGCCCGTGTACCCTCCCCAGGATCTCCAAGGCCCTCTCCAGTAACACATCCCAGTAATCCAAGAAGAAATCTCAGTGTCCCCAAACAATTCCAGTTCCCTGTGTGGTGACCACCCAAAAAAAGAACCCTGCCCAACGTCCACGGGCACCTCAGTGCCACACCTATGATACCCCACAGTGAGCCCCCACAATGTCCTTAGGCTCTTCAATGTCCCTTCCCAGTGCCCACCTCCTGTGTCCCCAGTGCCTCCCATCGCCCTCGTGGCCACCACAGTAATATTGAGTGTCCCCAGAAACACCTCGGTAACTCCCCAGTGTCCCCTCACCTCCGGTGACCCCAGGTCCTGCCAGGATTCCCCCAGTGACCCCAGTACAGCCCAGTGCCCCCGTGTTCCCCAGGCTGTTCCCGGCGCTTCCCCGTTCCCAAAGCGGGAGGTTCCTGCAGTGCCGCGCTCGGCTGCCAGAGGGCGGAAGCTCCCAGCGCAGCTCCCAGCGCAGCCCAGCGCCCCCAGTACGGCCCTGCACGCCCCTAGTACAGCCCAGAGCCCCTGCATCACCCCCGGTACAGCCCTGCACCACCGCCAGTACAGCCCAGTGCCCCATTACAGCCCTGCACCCAGTCACTGTGCCCAGTGCTGCCCCCAGCAGAGCCCCAGCCCGCTCCAGCACTCACACCAAGGCTGCCCAGAGGAGCCCAGTACTGCCTCCATTGCCCCAGTACTGAACAGTGCCCTACTATGGCCCAGTATCACCCACTACAGCCCCCAGTGACCCCTATACAGCCCACTACCACTGCCCAAACAGTACTCGCAGTACCACCAAGCACCAGCCCCAAGTGCCAAATCCTAATGCCCCAGTATTTCTCCTGGTGCTCCCATTACTGACTCTGAGTGTCCCTAGTGCTTCCAGTATCAGCTTCCAGTGTCCACGTTACTATCCCCAGTACAGCCCAGGACCCTCCAGCACTGACCCCAGGAGCTCCTGGTGCAGCTCAGAGGAGCCTGGTACCACCCCAATTGCCTGTCCATACTGATCAAAGTGCTCCCAGTACAGTCCAGTGTCACCAACTACCAACCCCACAATCCTGCAAAGTCTCTATCCTGCCCCATGGCCCCATGACCACCAAATACCAGCTCCCATTACAAAATCCTAAGGCTCCAGTACTTTCCCCAGTGCTCCCAGTACCAACTCTGAGTGCTCCCAGTGCCTTCAGCAAGAGCCAGTACTGGTGCCAGCCAACAGCCCAGCCCAGTGTACCCCAACACCCAGAAGTACCGCCCAGTACTGCCACCTCTCAGTGACCCCTGTGCTGCCCCCCTGGCACTCAGTGCCCCAGTGCTCCCCCAGGGAGCTGCAGCCCAGCCCTCTGCACCCCAGCAGGGCTCAGGGGATTACGTGGTGGGGGCCAGGCCCGTCCCCAACAGAGCACATGGAGGCACCCACATCTGTCCCAAAGCCACTGTTTATTTGGGGGTGCCCCCAGCCGCAGCACAGGGCACTTGCTCACCCTTGGCTGCCCCTGTGCTTCCCATGTACAACTATTTACAACTCCCCACACCCACTGGGATGCCCCAAGGGGGTGGCTAATGGGCCAGGTGCCCCAAACACTTCTGGGTGCCACTGTCACTGAGTGCCAGCAACTCGAGGTTTTACCCCAGCACACCCCCTTCTCCTTTCCCTCTCTACCCAATGATTCTGGCAAGCCCCCACCATGGCCTGAACTCCTCAGTCTTGTCTTGAGGGTTCAATCTCCTCCCTGCCAAGCCCCCAAGGAGGGGACAGGGTCCAGTACCCTTCTCCCACAGCCCACTTCTCCTCAGTTTGCCTGGTGATCTGCAGCATCCCCATGGAAAACACTTGTTCCTATGTGGGGAAACTGAGGCACAAAGCTACAACAGCCATGTGCAGGTTGTGCTGGGCAGACCTTGCCTGGGTTGCCTCTCCTCCTGCCTCACCTTCCCTGGCTGGGATTTGTCCCCCCTCCCACACCTGGACCTCCATCCCCCAGCACAGTGCTGTGCCCCAGCTGCAGGGGGACAGTGGTTGTGGTGACTGGTGGTCCCTGCACAAGAACAGGGGTACTGGGCAGGGGGAAAGACAGCAATGCTGGCTGTGGGCACCTCAGGGGTCCCTGCTCCTCCCTGGGGCCAGGAGGCAGGGGTCTCATTGCCCCAGTGAGTATGTACAACCTACAAATAAATACCACCTCCCGTGGGAGGGGGGAGTGCATGTGTCTGTGCGTGTGTGTGTGCGTGGATGTATATATATATATATATATATTTATTTATTTATAGATATTTTTAATATTAAAAGGGGGGAAAAATAGACCACTGTGCTAGCAAAGTCCCTGATGATGGTTTCATGTATGCCCATAGGCCTCTGGCTGGTGATTCCGGCGGTTTCGAGGCTTCTTCTGGTCCTGCTGCTCCTTGGCTTTGAGGCCAGCCAGCGGCTGCGGGGGGCTGGCAGCCGTGTGCCGCCAGTAGCCCTGGCAGTACTGGTCCAGGAGTCCCATTTCGGGCTGGGTGAGGAGCTGCAGCAGATCCTGGTAGCGGGGAGTGGGGGCACCCGGCAGGCCAGGAGGGGTCTCCGCCTGGACCAGCACGGCGTGGACGGCGCGGCTGCTGA